ATATATATATATATATATACACACACACACACACACACACACACACACACACACACATATATATATGTATATATAGTCTTGGAACCTACTTGTTGTCTACTAAGAAAAAGTTGTTGAACTTCATGGAATGTTTATTTAAAGAACACCGTTAAGTTCTCTGCTGAGAAATAAAGAATTATGTGTGTCAACATTCTTTTTTTTATGATGTATTCAGAGATATTTTTCATTTAGTCAATTTTCTTTAAACTTCAGGCTACTTCATACCATGGTGGATGTCTAAAATTTATTTTTAGTTACCAGAGATTTTTCATGATTAAGCCTGTAAAATAGGATATTCTTTATTCAAACCTAAAACTGTAATTCATGATTAAATTTACTTTTTTCTCTTTTTATTCTTGCCACATGGAGCAGATGGTGGACAAACTGTTTGGGGTAACTTTATTATTCAGTTGCACACATGTATCTGTGTGTACTTTTGCATGGCTTATCAGTTTCTTTTTGTGTTTGGTTGCTCTAACACCTTGGAGGTGTATTTAACTATGTGTGCATGTTACATTTGAATTATGAAAGGTTATATAAACACCACCATTGCAGTTATAACTTTCAAATTACCACCTTGTTTTTTATATAACATTCACTATCTGTGAATATTACATCATACTGAGTAATTTTATATTTTACTTGTTACACCACTCATTATAAAGAACTGACTAAAAAAAGTAGACGTAATAACCCAATTTCCTTGTAAAATGTATGGGAAACCCCATTAATAATTAATGCTATTAATTATAGTAATGATGGCACATTTGTTTAAAATATGTGTGTGATTAGTGTGTTATTTAATAGAAACCCTGTAATGAACAAAGCTATGAACTCTCAAGTAATTTGGTGCATACATAGTTAAAAAAAGTGTCTAAAAAGTCAATGAGGTCCACATTTACACCACCAGTAATTTAAAAGGCAAGTGTTTCTGTAAGGGTTTTGGTAGTTGGTTGTTAACATCTTTTCTGAATTTTCAGTTTGTGTTGCCAACTGTTATCGTTATTCTATGTATTCAGTTGTTTACATTAATCTTAGTCACATATGTGTATTATCACTAGATTGGTAACAGTATCCTGTACATTAACATGATTTGATGTTGTTGTGTATGTGCTGTCAGTAACCTAATAGCAGTAATTTTTATATTCAGTTGTTCATGTATATATTGTCCAGTATGTATTTCCCTTATGTTCTGAGAAGTATTTTTTTATGTTCATTAATTCAAGTGGATATAAATGACATATTTCCATCAGATTGTTAACAGAAATTCTCATGCTGAGTTAATCAGCTTGATGGTATTGTGTATCTTTTGTCATCAGTATTGTTTATACTCCGATGTTTGTGTTTGCATTAGGATGGTAGAATTTGTATGTGTGTAAATACTGTAGTAAAATTTCAAGTAATCTCTATATTGAATTGTTCATCTTCATGCTGCTGGTGAGTTGTTATTGTTAGCAGTACTCTGTTATGGTGATGTTATGGACACGTTATAAGATTCCTACTGGATTTTTATTATCACCAGATTATAAAATCACTTTTTCATGTTCAGTTATACATGTTTATATTAGTGTAGGTTTTGTTACGAGATTGTGTTTAATTGTTTATAATGATGATGATGTTGCCAGATTGTCAAAATTATTGTGTATTAGTATTCAAGGATTTTTTTAATTTGACTGTTACTCTATTGTAATGATTAATTTTTTTACACTTTCTTATGACATCTGTTATGTTTGCTTTTTAATTTTACATTCTATTTTTTGACATAATGTACTGTTTGCATGTTAAAAAGTTAATACTATAGCCCAATTTATAGCAAATAATTAATATGTATTCTTTATAAGATTTACTGAAAAGCAGTTTTTTAATATTCCATTATTGTAGGGTGAACAGTATAGTTACAAGGAAGCTCTAATCCTTAGTGATTACAAAGTTGAAGATGTAAGCATCACAAGAAGTGGAAATAAAGACAAGGTAATGTGTTAGTTTTTTTTAGGAATATATATAACACATAAGTTATGTTTGAAAGTGGAAGTAGAGTTCATGTTACTGTCTAATGTAAGATGAAAATTGAGAGACAACAGAAACTTGTGAGAAATGATTAAATAAATTGAACAAATGTATGGAGTACTTGTTCTAAGTCGTTCACGATTGCAGATAGTTAAATATGAAAATCTAAAACATGGACAAAACTGTTAATCATTAATTTAAGAGAGAGAAAAAAGTAAGTATTGGATGTTATTTCAAACAACCTAGAGCAAACAAAAAATTGAATCTCTCTTAGTCATTAGCATAATGTAACACAGGGAAAAGTTTCTAATGTAATGTACATGTGTAATGTAACCATATCTAGGTTCACATAACTTTTAATAAAGGTATCACTTCAAGTATATGAAAAAATATATTTGGAAATGAGGATTATTCCCAGAAGCATTTTCACTGAGGGATGGTACTAACAAAACCAATCTTAGTCTAGTGGAAGTATTCATTGCAGGCTTAGAATATCAGAAATTGGGTTTCGGTATTTGTGGTAAGCACAACAGAGATCATTTATTGTGTCACTTTGTGCTGAATACCAAAGAAACATGTATTCACTGTTCCAAATTTGTGCATCAAATTAGAAATGTTTGATTAGAATTCAGCTGCTTTTGTTCATTTTAATAGGGCCCGGCATGGCCAGGTAGTCAGGGCGCTCGACTCGCAATCTGCAGGTCGTGGGTTCGAATCCCCGTCACACCATACGGTGTTCATTTTAAAAGATATTGATTTGCCTTCATTTTGCTCTGTACCCTTATTTCTTAAAGACAAGAAGTTATTGAAAAAAAGGCTTATATCCAAAAGTGTGGCCAAATTGAAGATGAAGGTTCAATTGAGCATTGAGCATATGAGCAGATTACATTGAGAAAACTATACACATTTATGAAGCATCTTAATAAAATGTGTTTGATCTGCTTCATGAAAACGTATTTATTTCAGTATATTTTACTGCCCTTGTATAGTTTCAGTAAAGCTTTTGAACAATTTTTACAAATACATTTGCATATAGTTTTATTAGTATGTGAATTAACACATTTATATTTGCCTGTACGTTACATATACACAAATATATGTATAGTTACATGTATTTTCATTTTTATTTTAAGAAAAAATATTAAGCCTGGAACACTTCTAACAGTTTTCATATGGTCAAAGAACTTACAAACAGTGATATTTTAAGAGAAAAAAGAGGGCAAACTCTTGGTATGATGTGAGAATAGAATCAGAATTAGATACAATATATTGTTGGTTTGAAATTAGAGGTAGAGTCTGAAGTGGGAAGCAGTAGTCCTAATAATGAACCAAACAATGCTGTGGAAGATTTAAATAAAACGTTCATGTCAACTACAACTCAAATCTTGCTTGGCAAACTAATTTTTGCATTGTATTTTGTGTAATGCTGAAGCAAATTATTTTTATGCTGGACTTTAAAATACTGTCAAGTTTAAATACTCTGGGAACTGTGGGCTCATCACTTAGTATACTTTCAAAGGCTGTTTCACCAACTTATCATTGAGAACTTTGACCTTTTTTATTATGGGTAGGTCAAAGTATGCACTTTATGAAATTTTAGAAATACATTCAAAACTTAAACTACTTTGTTGTCAGTGTATATCATTAAACTTGGCATCAAAACATAGTTTATAGTTTAAGTTTTAATAATATATAAGTTTAATTTATTAATTTTAAAAAAGATGTATATAAATAAATGCTCAAGCTTCACTGTGTATACCACATGACACTTCTTCAGTCCAAGTTACCTATTTCTACATTTTCTGATACCCTTGTAACTTTATGGTAATTTTTCATTTATATTATACATACCCCCGATCTAAACTGTCAACTTGTAGTGAGTAAACTTTCTGTTTTATGGAGTAATAAAGTGAAGACCAAATGCCGTGCCTCCTACAGAACATTCTGCTTTCAAAAATTGTCATAAGTTCTCTGACATATACTGCTGTATTATTTGTAATCAACAGAAAGCAAAGGTTTCACTCAGCTGATAACTATGCAGTCTGAAGGTGTTACCCTAAGCAATGTTGATAGTCATTTAGGAAAGTCTTAGAGGTTATGCAAAAGAAATTTGAAAACTGTAAGATGGATACAAGTATTTTTAATTTTAACATACATAAAAAACCTTGCATTATTTAATTAAACAAACAGTTATTTAGTGCAGTAATACCAATAATATAAAAAATAGGGTTAAGTTTCATCAACAGTTGATAGCAAAAGAAAAGAAGAACCAGAAAAGCACTATATTTCTTGTTTTCCTTGTGTATTCTTTAGTTAATATTATTAGAAAAGTAACTAAAATGTAAAAATTAGAAACATTTTTAGGTTAGATTAGGTGAAATAAAGAAGAATAGAAGAAAGTTTTTACAAGGTATGCTTGCGAGCAACTGTTGGCTTTCTTTTATAACAAATTAATGCAGTTTCATGAACTTTGAATGTTATGAAAAAATTAGAAATTTTCAGTTGCAGTAAATGTGTGTTTATGTAAGTAGTATGTAAATCATTACAAGCAATCATTAGATTAGATATCAGCAACATTTGAAAAGAGTAAGAAATATGGTACTTTATGAAAATTCTTTTCCATCACCTTGTAAAGATCTTTTGGATCCTTCATTAAAGTCATATGTAATGGCTGTAGGTAGGCTGTAATAGCATCTTCATTTGCTGAATGTAAAATATTTTGAACTGTTGTTACCCTTGAATAATCAAACATCTGGTGTTTTCATTACATACTCAGGAGTAAGAATCTCTGGTGTTTCAAAATTATAATTTCTGGCACATGTCTCCAGTCTCTACTCCACAGAAAATGTGTATATCTACATTTCATTTGTTATTTATATTTATAATTGCATATACAGCATATAATAGACTCATTTTGAATTTCTTTTGAAATAACTTTGGATTTTAATGTAATTTAAACAGAAAGAGTTTTCTGACAATTTCTATTTCAAGCAGGCCTTACCTTTCAGTAATTTTGGTTTGCACCACATTTCTTCAGTTCTTCTGTTAAACCATAAGCTATGCAAAGCTAAAAATACAAGGAACAAAAAAACGTGTTATGTCGTATCTTAACCAGCAATGTAACTGTGTGTTGTCAGAAGGACTGATTAATTTAAAGCGTCACATAGTGATCTTGTTTCTGATTTTTTTTGTGTGTAAGTACTGTGTGAATTTGTTATACATTTGGGAGTAGTTTAAAGATATTGTAAAATTAATCAATAAATCACAAAAGTGAATAAAAGAGTAAAGTTGTGAAATAATAAGTGATTATTTGTGTTCTATTTAAAGTATGGAAAGTACTTATTATTGGTAAGTATAGGTTTAAAGCTGTTGTCTTTCTGAGCATAGAGTTAGGCTTATGTGTGATTTTACTGAAATGTATTAGATTCAGTAGTTAAAATTTATTGATGTTATTTTTGAAAAACTTGTATTTTACTTTACATTATGTTTTCTATAATACAGTGTGCAGCTGTTAACATCATTTGAGCTGTGCATTGCCTAATGCCCTATGTCAATTTTTATGCTTTTTCATTGGAAAATGTAAAAATGTAGCAGGAAGTATGTTTTCTTCAAAATATTGCTTTTAAGAGATAGAGGGAAATAAGGTTCATTAGAAATATCATGATATTTAGGAAAGTATTACTCATATTTGTTTTTTACTTTTTTTGCTGTTGATAGGACAATTTGTTGAATCTTTTTTTTATAGACTGGAAAGTTTTACTTTGGCCACCTGTAATTTCAAATTGAAAGTTTATGTACTACAAATTTTATGGAAAAAGAAATGAATGTTCTTATTCTTAAAAATCAACAACAAAACACCATTTTTCTCAGAAGATGAGATTACATGGGGTCATTTTATGGTCCCATTATTTGATTTTGTGTGTGCTTCATTCTCATTTAAAGCATTCTAAATTTTTTTACAACTTTAGTGGAGTAACTATTGGTATCTAGTACATCGACAAAATAAAACTGCATATACTATGTACTCAAAGACAGAGGAGATGAAGAGGAAGTGGATAAATGCGATTGAAAAGGCTCTGTAAGTTACTGTGATTTCTGTTAATAGTTGTGTGAATATTTTCTATTAAAATCTAGTTTTTAAGTTAGTATTTTAAATGTTAGGCATACATGTTTGAAATATAGTTTGTTTGTTTTTGCATTGTTACCTTTACTGTTAGAAGAGATGAAATAAAGGATACTTAGATACATGTTAGAATTATATATTAAATGATGAAAAATGGAAAAGTTACATTATGTTGATTAATCTCTTTCTTCATATTTAAGACACCTTTCATAGACTGAAGATATTATGAAGACTTGCATAGTTGGAACAATGCATATATTGAGATAAACCTTAATTATATACTGTGTGGATTGAGTATTCATTTATGTTAGCATACTTGCAAAAGCAACTTGTATATGGTGACACAGAATTATTCCATTACCTACACGAAATGCTTATAAGTCTTATATATATGTGTGTATGTGTAATGAGACCAAATACAGAGCGTCTGTATTTGTATAATTGTGTGTGTGTGTATGTGTAATGAGACCAAATACAGAGCATCTGTATTTGTATGATTGTGTGTGTGTGTGTGTGTTTGTCTCTTATCTGACAATATTACTGTGTGGTCAATCTTCTAATATGTTATGTGAGAATGTCAGTCAGGCTAGGCTCGAAACAAATGCCAAAAATAACATTGACTATAGAGTTCTAATTAACTTAAAAACGTTTTAACATTATATAAAAAACATGTACTACTGCATACTTTAGATATGCCCAAGTATCATAAATTAAAAAGCATCAAGAAATATCAATAACTGGAGTTTATAGGTTCAATCTCTAACTTGAGACTATATATGTTTTAACTAATAATATATTAAAAGCTAAATATAAGAAATAAAAAAACTGCTTTAAAACATGCTTGACAATCTAGTTGATGTCAGTGAAATTGGTTTGAGTTGTGGAAACAAAATACTTACTTAATTTTAGAAGACAAAATACACCAAAAGTATTATTTTGGCCATTAGGTAATAGCAAAAAACAAGTGGCCTATTATTTTAATATTGGTTGCTCATACAGATGTAAACATATTTATCATTATGTACTTTTTAAGACACTATGAAATAGGACAGAAAATATATATATCTACTTTTTCTCATCAGGTCCACAGCAGGTTAAAACAAGCTCTACCTTCTTGCTTTAAACTTGGTTGTGCTTTTTTCTTTATTGTTTAAAACATTTGATAAACTGGAGATAAAACTATAATTTTTTTTATTAAGTAGTATCACAAATTAAGAATTAGTTATGAATCATAATTTCCATAACCAGTGATTCGCTAATGAAGTTTTGGGCTTTAGTTCAGAGATGATCACTGGTTCAGCACCAGTTTTTTCTCTAGTAATCCAATTGTTTCTACTCCTACAAGTGAGATTCAAACTTGGGACATCTTGCACAGTGGGTGAGTCAATACTCTTCTAGCTTATCTAGTTAGTTAACCCATTAGTGCTTGATAGTAAGACGTTTTCTGACAGTCAAACTACCACAGTGGTTACACTGGATCCCATTGTAGTGAGTTGTGGAGAAATATTCTAATGTTCATCCAAAATTGTCAGTAACATTGAAAAACAGTATGATTTATCTTATGGGTGTTTACCCAGCATGACCAGGTGGTTAGGGCGCTCGACTCGCAATCTGAGGGTTGCAGGTTCGAATCCCCGTCCCACCAAACATGCTTGCCCTTTCAGCCGTGGTGGCATTATAATGGGATGGTCAATCCCACTATTTGTTGGTGAATAAGTAGCCCAAGAGTTGGCGGTGGGTGGTGATGACTAGCTGCCTTCCCTCTAGTCTTACATTGCTAAATTATGGACGGCTAGCATAGATAGCCCTTGAGTAGCTTTGTGCGAAATTCAAAAGAAACAAACTTGTGTGTTTATGAAAAGCAGTGCTCCAAGTCTCATTTTATACTTCAAGAATATCTCAACAACATATAAACTTAATCAACATTTTCACATCAAGCAGCCAAGAAAAAAAAGAACATAAGTTACAAGACATTTTTATTAGTTTTAATTCTTACATCATTTCATAAGTTTGTATGATTCAGACCTTGTTCTTCCTTGCACATTGCAATATCAAAAAAAGCCTTGTCAGCATGTCAAAACATTAACCTTCTGACATAGTCTTTTTATCTTTCATTTTTTTGTGCCAGTTTAACTGTTAGCGAGGAGACTGTATTTGAATAAACAACTAACACTGTAGAAAAAAAGGGGAATAACTGGCATTATATCAGAAAAGCAAAAAATGCTAAAAGTGTTTTTCTTATTAGTATGATTATAATGGCTTTTTATGCATTTTGTTTATCGGTAAACAAACCTGAAACTGTCTCATTTGGATACTTATGAATCATATGGTGTATTTTAATGATTCAGTTTCCAATTACTTATTTTTGGTATAGTTTGACAAATATTTCAGACCAAAAGAAATGCACGTAAGGTAGGGCGAGTGATGGTTTAATTTCCGATACCCTTAATTACTACAAATGTATATGTTCACTGGCATAGGTTAATAATGATATCATATACAACTCCCTTAATTATAAAGCAATGGAGACCACCATATTCAACAGTCTCTCTGTATGTTGCATTTATTTATATTCTTAGTAAAATATGGCTGAGAACTTTTTTCTGCAAGATGATATGGACATTTAGAAAGGTGTCTTGATAAAAATATTAGCTATAACTTTATTACCTGATCTTGCTGTCATATCTTCTTCCAAATAGGAAGGATATATTTAAGAAAAAATCATATATAAATTGTTTTAATGGTTTTGTTTTTATTTTCATTCAGTGACAGTGTCTGTCCAGCTTCTACTAGACTCACAGATCACAAATTCAACATGTTCACATTTGATAAACCATCAAATTGCATGGACTGTGGCAAACTACTTAGGTAGGTATGTTTTTGTGATAGATGTTTTCTCTTACTTTAGATATAATTTGAGATATTACTGCAACAGACAGGATTTCATAAAACAAAGGTCACAGGTTTGATTTACCATTCAGATTTTGATGCTCCACAGTAGAAATTATTTTCATTTTAGCCTGGTGTAATGGTTTATACCATTTTAACATGTATCTACCAAATAGATGCAAAGCCTGTACTATTTAAACCACCATTATTAATTACAATTACAATTACAAATTAATTACTAGTTTTTTATACTAATTACCAATTAGTTTATATCCTATGTTTCTGCTGTTAATCTGCTCTCATCTTTAGAAGAAGCTAGAGAAAGGCTGTATGTAGTGGTAGGAGCTGGAATTTGATCCTGGGTCTACTTGTTAAAAAAAAAAAGGCAGGCATGATCCACTTGTATGGGTTCTCACTCTAGTGTGACTTGAATCAACTAATTATTTGAATAGTGTATATATCAGTTAGGTGGATATAGAAAGATTCTTTTAATTGTGGGTGTTTTGGTATTGTATTATTTTAGTATTGTTCCATTTTCACAATCCGTGACATGATAGGCTTTTGTAGATTGACCAGTATCATAATGTCTTTTATGTCTATTGTGCTTCTGAATTCTGGCTTTTGTTGATCTTTGCATTAAATACTTTTGGGGTTAAACCTTTGGTGTGGTTAAAGTATGTAGATAACACATTTTTGGTGTGGCATAGTGACAAAAACACATTAATGCAACTTGAAGATCATCTGAATTTGGTTAGTTCTACTATACAATTTTCCCTGGTGGTAAAAAAGAGGGTCAGTTGAATCTTCTAGATGTGACAGTTAAATGGGATAATGGTTTTCTCTCAATTTTGGTTTCTAGGAAAACATTTTTGGTGGTCGTTCCACCACACAACTCATGGCCATAAAAATTATCTGTCTTTTCGATATTTGTATTTAGAGCACTAAAAATCTATACTTATAGTTGTGACTTAAAAATGGAGTTAATTTTTTTTTTAAACATGTACCTACATACAGAGCTATTATCCTGAGATTATTGATAGTTTTTATAAAAATGTAGCAATGAACTAAAATGCTCATTATGTACAAAGTTAAAAGGAAAAAAAATGAAATTGGTAGCATGAGAGTTTGCTTACCATATGTTCGAGGTATCGTAACAAAAGTTAATAAAAAAAATACACATGTTGTAGTTTAACTTTCTTTTTACTTTGTAAGTTAAATAATTATGACACAGGTGTAAAAGATAAAGTCAAACATGTTGATAAATGTGAATCATGCAAAATTCTTTGTGTTTTTGGTTGAGTGTATACTGGCCAAATACATAGAAATGTTAAATTTAGAACAATGGAATGCATAACGGGGTAGAAAAATATAAATTGAATGAATTGACTTTAGCAGAACTTATGTCAAGCACATCTTGTATTATAGATTGGAATAATGTTAAACTGATGAACTAGTTTGTGTTTAAATAAGAACTAATTATACGAGCATCAGTAAAATTTGAGAAAAAAATTATAAGTTTGAATAAAGGTGATGGTCCAGGTGTGGAAGAAATGAAATACTGCAAATTTGTTTAATAAGCTCTTTGATTGTTTCAAAAGTTGAGATAGGGCTGAAGATGTATTGCAAAATAATGTAATCGGAGGTGATGTAGTTATATAAGCTGGTTCTCACTTTAACCATTGCTCCACATGATGGTAGTATATAATGCCACCAAAACATTTAAATTGTTTTCTTAGGGCTGTTCTTTGTTTTCAAGAAATCTTTGCTTATTGTGCAGATATTGAACATTGTATTATTTTTTATTTTTAATACGCATATGCACAAATGCTGTTTAATATATTTGAAAGTAAAGTAATAAACAAACTAACGAGAACTGAATAATTAGGAAGGTGACAAAGAAACATTGTCTAGTGAGCAGAAAATTAGAACTGTACTATCAAAAGTTTTTATTACACGTAACAGAGCATTGAAATATTCTGATCAAAAGAATAACTAAAAAAAAAACTTATAGGCACGTTTCACTCTCAATCAGATCACAAACAGCGTACTATTTGAATCTTCCTTAAAGCTACAAAGACAATCAAACAACACTCCTTGACTTAAGCCTACCAAAGCAAACTTTCCGTTAAAAAGTAGAATGTAATCTTGTTCACAAGGCAAATTTTTCAAGGATTAACAGAGTCAAATGTTATTTGTTGAAGAGGTTATTTTTATGAAAATGGTGTTTGGATATATATATTTATGACTACAAGAAACATTCAATATTTTTGTGTCTCCCAAAAAAGATGGTTTTCCTTAATACTGTATACTAAAATCAAGAAATTAAGAAATATATACATATATGTACTAGCAGAGACCTGTAAAACATCTGTGGTCAAATTATTATCTTTATTGGAACAGTACTTCTTTAAATACAGGATTTCTAAAATAATACAAAAGACTTTAATTGCTGACATTGAAACCTATATGTCCACTTGTCTTAAGCTTAACATTAGTCAAGCCTTTGTTAAGCACATCCTATATTTGATAAATAGATAAGTTAACACTGTAACTTGTGTATGTTTTTTGCCTTGGTTTAGTTAGGGCTAAACTTTACTGTACTTAATACAATCAGTAAATAAACTTATAATGTTATTCTATGACTTAACATTAGACCTTTTTAAAAACTTTGGTAAGCTTTTAACATGTTGTACAAAATGTCTACTAAAGTGTATTTACATCTGCATTTTGTTTACATCTGTTAAAATGAAGTGCGTACACATGCACATTTAGATAGTAAGGTGCATGTATATTTTCAGGACAGACAGACACTAAGTATTGTTATAGTAGATTTGTTTTCAGTATAAGTGTCTCAAATCTATATTACTGTGATTTGAATATGTATAAAATAGTTTGTGTGTGTGCATTTTCTAAGAAGATGGAGGCATAGATTATTACCAGCTAAACATTGTGTTATATATGTAAAAACAATTTAAGTGATGATTTGCCACTAAATTTGTTTCTTAATCCCATAGAAAAATTGTAAATCATTTCACATGCCCAACTTGTTCTTTTCTCAGTGGACATAGGAGTGAGTTGTACATGAAGTTACATGTTTACCTTTACAAGATTTTCATGAAACATAATTGTTGACTTGTATATTTAGACAAATAACATGCAGGTTTAATAAAAGTTAAAGTGTACAAGGGTATTTGCATCTGTAGACCTGCGTGGTGAGTGACACACATACACACTATCCTGCCAATTCCATGAATGCAGTGAAATAAATGACATGCAGGGCACACTCCAATTGCTTTTATAAATATATATATGTGTGTGTATTAAATCAGGAGGATTGCATGAAATTAGAGAAATATTTGATCATACAAAGAGTATTGCAGTGTTAAATGCTTTGTAAAATATATGTGTGTCTGAAAATTGTACATACTCCAATAGCACCACACTTTCAGCATTATTTTTTTTTCAGGAGAGTAATATTGTTGCCATATTCAAATCAGTCAAAATTTGCATTTCACAGCTTAGCCTTAGACAGGGTTTTTAGGTGTAACTGTTCATTTTCATTTTTCACATGTTACTAGAGCTGAAGTATAAATATAGATGTGTACAGTACATGCAATGAAGCACCTTAGCTTGAATCTAAATACAGAAGTCCTGTTTAAACATTAGTGTAAAGATAACTCTGTGTTATTTACCTTATTTCTGTGTATCGACAATCAGGTGGTTAAGAAATAGGTATTTGTATTCAGTATAGTTGTAAATGTTATATAACCGTGATTTGGATATGCCTGAACAGTGTGTATGTTTTTGAAGATTGAAATGGAGTGTGAAACAAAGCCAGATTTTTTTATGTTATTATTTATAGAAGTACTGGGAAGACTTAAATATATTTGTTTTACTTAATCAGAAGCAAAATTTAATAAACATAACTTAACTTTGTCATCACTGTAGATTGTTTCCACTTTGATATACACATGTGACTTAGTCTTAAATTTTTTTCAAATAAGAATAAGATTGTGATAAAATGTAAACATTTACTTCTGGCTTTAACAATTATAAAGCCAGATGGAAGTGTATATTTATTAGTATTTCATGAACCGATACAATTATATTTCTCCCAATCTTTGAAAACAATACCAGGCAATTAATTACCATAGGTAGTATAATTGCTGTGACACTATCAAAGTGTTACGTCTCTGTTTGTTTGTTAATTTCTGGTATAAATTCTTTCCGAGGAACCCAAGCAATACAAGTCCCCTCCCAACCAAAACCAGCTTATTCTTTCTGGATACAACCCTGCAATACACAGAATTTCCACAGTCACTTTAAACTTAACCACCCCTATTAACACACATTATAACTCACAGCGATTCACACACACACTTTACTTACGGTGCCTACTGTTCGCTTGACTCAACTATCTCTATCTACAATCTATCTGCCTCTCTTCTATTTATCTGCCTATCATGCTTGTTTTACTCGCCAGGCTTATATAATAAAAAAGAGGGTGTATCGAATGCACTTGGGCCTTCGTGATCCTTCTAGAAACTCATCACGTGTTACCAGCGTCACGTGACTTCCACTGTTGTAACACAGTTAATAGTTAATAATAGTATGGGCCTTCATGAAGTCATTTCTCTATCATCTTTTCTGTTCATTATTTTATATTAGTTTTGTTCATGCCATGAATATGGATTGATAAGTATTACCTGGTGACACATGATTTATTAGTGTCGTACACTTAGTGTCGATGAACATGTTTTGGGTTTGTGCTTTTCAATATAGATACATTGCTCTTTATAATATTTGAGTGTGTGACTTTAATTAAACCTTTTGATAATCTAACTTTAAGAGAAAACAAAGTGCCCATAATTGCAATTAAATATAAACCTTAATTTCAGCTGTGGGTGTATTATAAGAGTGACAGTGAGTCACATAGTTGTCATTTTTTGGTCATTAGTTCAAAATTAGGGATACCTAAAAACATTATATGCATTTGATTTTTAAAAGTCTTAATTAAAACTTGTTTATTCATGTGATTGCAAAGACAACTTCAATTTTAAATACATATTACAGAATGTCATAGTGGAAATTGTGCATGATAATTATTATAGTTAGTTATATCAAAACTTATTCTTTGATTTTGATTTTTTTTATACAGTATGAACCCAGTTTACATAGCTGTAGAGGTGGTTCTTGGTATCATACTACTAAGCAGTATACTTATTGAAGACCTTTCTGTTATGACAGTTATTAATTATTAATACTATTTTTTTGACTGGTCAGGCAGTTTTGTAACTACCAGCTTTTTAAATGGTTTGTGAATCTTTGCAAATCTATAGCCATGAAATTATTCATGATAACAGATTTCATATCTATAAACTTGTACAATAACATTTTAAAATAAAAATCACCAGTGTAATTTTAACAGCTTTTTTTTATCTAGCTACATTTTGTTGAAGTTTTTAATGTTTCCTTTCTAATTAAATTGATGTTAAAGCTGTTTGTTAATCCTTCTTATATGGATATTTTACTTAGAAACATTCACATGAATTACCAGAATTTGTGTTACTTACTCATAAACTATACTCATTTTTTATTGTTGCTTCTAAAACATTGTTTTTACTTTTTTTCCAGGGGTATGTTTTTTCAAGGTTACAAATGTGCAAGTAAGTAAATTATTTCTATACATTAAATATTTTGAAAATTAATATAATTGATTTCAGAGAGAAATAGAAAAACGAAATATGATAGGGTACACCATTTCCTGCATCCATAATGTTAGATTTCAAATGGCTATTAAGCAAAGTTTGTTTTAAGTAATGTAAAAAGTGCAAATAATTTATATCATTTTGACCAAATAACTTGCCTTAAAGCATTGGACAACAATTTACAAAATTTAACCTTTTTCTTTTCTTGTTGTTGGTGTAATTTTCATTTTGATAATGATTTTATTTGCAAAAATTTTACATTAGCTACTTATATTTTATACTGTATGTTTTTGGTCACAGAAAGTTTTTTAAAATTGATTTCTGGAACTTGTTTCTGGGTGCTTTGAAAAGATTTCTACCTTGTGTAAAAATTAGGTGCTTTTCACTTCGTGGGATTCTTTGTCATGTTTAAACAACTTCTTAGACTCACAGTGCCTAGTCAGGATATGACATTGTCCTCAGAGATTTTTATATTTGATCAAATTACATTTTTGATTTCTATTCAAGCAGTGACAGTTTCATTTCAGTTGTCTTACAGTGCAAAATTATGTTTGTTGCATGAAGCTGAAGTGCAGGCTCTCTCTTTCTCTACCATGATTATTGATTTTGGCATATTAGCTGTTTCTTAACCTTCATGAAGAATATTTTTCCTGGAATTGATTGAAGTATTGTGTATTTCTCATTTTCCTACGATTCTTACATTGTTTTAAGATATATTCTGTTTTCTTTTTTTTTTTTAATTACCCATCTTTCACCACAGTTCTGGATCTAGGATATAGTTTTTCCCTTTTCTGCATAAAGGTCTGGACCAAATGGTGATGAACTTGATTCATGAATGTGAGTAATCTGTGAGGTTTTCAGATTTTAACATTTCAGCTTCTCATTTACTGGAATTCACCCAACCCTACCACTGCCATTCACATATATGTACTCCCATCCTTCTGTGTTAATCTCACATTTAATGTCCTTTACTTGAAACCAAATATAGGATATCTCGCATATCAAGTGACTACTCTGTCAACTGAACTAAATGTTAACCCACTAGTCACTGTTAGTAAGGCTCATTTTAACAATTCAAACTATTACATACATTCTTCCTCTTTCACATATGAGATCTGCTCTCTGACCTTATCTCAGGGTTGTTAGACAAACAATTCCAGTTTTTCCTGTGGTAATTCAACCTTTCTTTTCTTGAGATCAAATGCAGGATCTCTAATATTCCAAACAAGCTCTTTACCAATAAACTGTCCTAAATGTTACATCATGTAGAGCAGAAACTTTGCATTGGGGGACAATATTTCTGTGGTAGTCCTATTTTGACATCCTTTTTGAGTGAGATCAAAGTCAGGATTTCTCACAAGCCAAGCGAGCACTATACAAATAAGTTGATAGATTAGGCAATTTGCACATTTGGTAGATCAGTCTGTAGGCATGTGAGAGACCCTGGGTTTGGCACTGAACCCAGAAGATCTAATTGACTATGTCTGTCATTCTGTTTTGAACTAAGTGAAACTTCCTTTGCAGCTTTAAAATTCATAAAATACATTTAGGATTTTTTTTCCAGTTGTTTGATATTACAAAAAATAAGGGAAGTTGTTTTACATTGATCTTTAATACAAATTTGAATTAATTCATTTTGAACCCTACCAAAATGTGTCAGAGATTTGTTGTTAGATTTGTAAGAACCATCATGTAATAGCCACAGATATAGATACAGTAGCAGTCAGTTATAAGGAGATTCATGTTCCCACAGATCTGTATATTTGTTTTGTACATGACCCACAGTTTACTGGTCCTATGTTTGTTTGATTATGGTTTATCTAGTGCTTCATATATCTTCATAAGGTTTGGTTAGTTCTCTGTTACCTCTTTCCTGATTGCTTTCCAATTTTGCATGGATAACCAATTATTCTCTGACTAAAAACCAGTCACTTTGTACAGTGAGGTAGAAGTGGATATATATAGAATATGCAAGCTTCCAAGACAGATTAATTCATGGTTAATTTTTTTTTTTATATAGTTGTAAGTACCAGATTAGCCCCTATTTATGCATAAGTTATCTTAAATTTAATATAAAAGAAAGCACAATACAATAGAACCTCTATACCTTTTAGGAATTCATATGCAAGTTCAACATAAGAACAAATCCAAAAGCCTTCAGATCTAATAAAGACAATATAAGTTTGTATATGTATCATTGTTCTCTTGTTTAATCAAATGGTTTTGTTTCCAGCATGTGGTGTGGGTGTACACAAAGACTGTATAGCTACTGTTCGTTCCTGTGGTGCACCAATTTTGCCACCACGTCCAATATTAACTAATCGTGCTGGCTCACAGTCTTCTTTTCCATCTCTAGAAGAATCTGAGAATTCTTTTGAAGACTTCTCAAGAATTCATAAGACAATTATAGGTAACCATAGAAACAGAGTAAATGTTACCTTTCAATATTTTTTGTACATTTTAGTTTATACAATTGAATTAATTTTTCAATATATTAAATATCCCCTCACAAAAATATTGATTTATTACTTGATAAAATATCAACAAGGTATTTGTTTACCTTAAGATAGGGTTTGTCATGAATGCTTCAAGAAATAATACTAATAGTCTTTTTATTAAATATTAATACAAAGGGTTTTGATATTGGAGTACAAGTTAGTTTAGGATGATATGTCTGTCAGGTATAGAGTTAAGATTAATGATTATATAAAAAGTGCAAATGGTACAAGGCAGTAATAATACATTCCTGTCTTGTATTAACATTTGTTAATTTTTTTTTGCTGTACAGTTTAACAAGTGAAGATCAATCTCTGATTGTATTGTATGAATACAGTTATGACTAATATAAAGCTTTCTCTATTCTACGTAATGATTTATATATTGGAAAAAATATATAATGTAGGCAACTTCTGACAGTTAGAGCTCAGTTTATCATCCAATTCCCCATTTTGTAGTATGTCAAGTGGGTGTGTTTACTGCCCCCAGTCTCCAATTATTTCATTTAAGACTTGTATAAAACTATCAGTTTTTAGTGTTAGATGATTGTGTAAGCAATTGTTTTCATTTTTTTAAAGCTTGGAACAAGTTTACTGTTTGACGAGAAGCAGTATCACAGAGTTCTGCCATTTTCAAGTGAACTTTAGTTGAGTGATCATCAGCTCTCTTGAATCTATAATTATTTTTCTTCTTTAGCTCCAATAAGTTGTAGTAAAACTTACCTTGACCTGCTTTCAATCGTCTACAATTATGAAACATTTGATATTCATCAGCCATTTTATATCTCATGTTACAGTACATGTGATATGCATGTATTACCAGGTCTTGTTAAACTTTTAAAAAAGGTTTTTAAATTTGTAATATTACAATAGAGAACTGATTGTTTATTATATAAAAAAAAAACATTTATTGCCCCATAGAAATACTTATTTCCTACTTTAACAAATGTCTAAACCTAAACAAATTTATGAAACATTGAACTGCTCTATAAACATTCTTGAGTGATAGTATACATTGAATGTTGCTTAGGTACAGCGGGATATACCATCTAGTGTTTTAAAATATTGACAAAGATTTTTTTTCAAGATAGTGAGTTATTGACTAGTGTTAGCTCAGTGCAAGTGATGTGTATTTACTTGTCATCGTGTTAAAAAATTAGTTATGTGGATTTTAGCATGGCATAAATAATTGTGAAGTAATTTTATTATATTTGGATATCTTCGTAAGCTGATACGTATATTAAAAATCATGTCTTAACTGTTAAGAACATTTGACCTTGTGTAACTGTATGTATAGTTTTTCATAATTATGAGGCTGACATTTATTTAGGCAGACTTTGAATAATAGTGGCTTTGTGCTCCTTAGTTATTTTAACACAAAAATCGGTGGTTTAGGCTACAACATTTTTTGTTCACCATGGTAAAGGTTTTGATTTGGGGTGATTTGCTGTTTCATATTTAACAGCTATTTTTGATTTATTTTAAATACTTTCTACATTGATTGCTTGGATCTCTGGTGAAAAAGAAAAGTGAGCACATACATAAAAATGTTTTTTTCTACAGAGAAAGAAAATTTATTTGTGTATCTTTATGTACATTAGTTGTACTAGCCAGTCCATATAGTTTGTTTGATGTAGTGAGCATTGCAGTAGGATTGATACTTTGTTTTATAGAAATTGGCAAAGTTGTTCAGTCAGTTAAAGAGTTAAGGGCCAGAATACTTAACTCCTATCTCAACTTCATAGAGATCGTTGAAGACATGACAGTATGTTTATGCTATCTGTATTACCACTGTTCTTTGAATGCAACAAGACATTTGTATTTGGATGTAAAGTAGTTTTTTTAGTGAATGAGTTGTTAATTGTTCACTAACTTGTTCATTAGTGATCATATTATCATTTCATACGATAATTCATGTAGGAAAACATTTTTTGGTGAAAATCACGTACACCTTAGATGATATAAATTTTCAGTTCCTGTCAATTTCAGATCACAAATGAGAGATGTGTAAAATAACAGTTCAGATCAATCACTTTGTCTTCCAAAAGCTACTTACCAGGAGATCTTTCATTCAGTATCAGAACTCATTAGTAGTTCTGGACAATGAGACAAATATTTATCTGAAATGATAATATATATATAAACAGTATAAAAGTTTAATAGTTATGGCTTAAATGTCATCAGTTTGTGAAGCATTGGAAACCACTAGGTCTATTTGTGAAAAAAAATATGTAAGCTTTGGATTCTTTTATTTTTTCCTAATTCCTCTATAGTTTGCCAATTTTGGATCCCAAATAATTAGTGTATAAAATATCATTTTATGTCAACCCTACATCAAGCAGGAAAGTTATGAAAAATTCAAACAGTTATCAATGTGTATGAAAGTTTTATAGTAAAGTTACAGTATTAACCTAATGATTTTGTTTTTATTAAACGTATTATGATGAAACAACTGAAATTACATTTGTTCATGAATGTGGAAGACTCCCAAGAATGTGTGTCCTATCATATTAATATCTTTGCTCATTCTAGAATGCAAGTAAATTTTTGACTTGTCTTTCACAAATTTATGAAAAAGTAGCAATAATGAAATTCTTTTGCTATGATTTTGAATCTATTTTGTAAAAACAGTGAATATATTTTTTAAATGTGAATATGTCACGTGCATGATGTAAACTAGCACATTTATTTCATCAGTATTTGTTATTTTTTTTTGTAGTTTTGTAATTCTTTTGTGTATATATATATATGTTGGTTACATTTGGCTTCTACAAATTGTATAGTTCTGCTTGAAGTATAGTTAAAGAAAACCTCTTGAAGTGCTAGTTGTTAAGAAATCATATTTTTTTCTCTTTTCCAGCAATAGTCAAAGCAGTGAGAGCTTTCACAGGAGATGCTACTGGTTACTTGTCATTTGACTGTGGTGACATAATCCATGTGTACAAGAAAGCCAATAATCTTTGGTGGGAGGTAAGAACATCTTTGGTTTGTATTTGCTAATTTTTATTTTTATTTTCCAGAAACTTGCTGTGTTTCATTTAAAAGAAAAATGTTAATAAGCAAATAGTGAATATTTTAAGTCATTAGGTATATGCATGACTGGTTAAGGATAAGGATGTATCTATATGTTAACATTCAGCTTTGTTTTGTGTTTCAATAAATATTTATTTCTCAGGGTCAAAATCAACGAACTGGAGATGAAGGTATTTTTCCAGTAGACTATGTCATGAGTCAACAACATGTAAGTCACTTTTAGAAATGAATAATTTTAAATAGAATTGTTAATATATTTCTACAGTACAGCACTTTATTATAGAGCATATCAGTATTTGTTAGATATCATTTGTTTTCATGTCTTTGCTATTTCACGTGTCAATATTTTTATCATTTTCTTACGTTTGATTTAAACTGTTAGAATGTCAAATGTAAAAATGAAAGAAAAAATTTAAAGTTTTTTTATTTTTGTAGGTGTCTGTCTGTTGACCAAATTTCGTGTCCATAAAAATGATACATAAAATCACCTTTCATCAGTAAAACATTAGGAATTGCACTTTAAAAAGAAAAAAGAAATTTGCATTTGCAGATTAATTACAAAAACTAAAATAATGAAAGATTAGATCCACTGAGAGAGTATTTTACAAATATAACTTGTGGTTCTTCACTCCAAACAGTAATAGACTTCATCCTGTTTTGTCATTTAATAACTAAGGATGCAATGATTCACAGTGTCCAAAACATGGACATCTAGAAATGATAATTTGGGACAGTGTTTCTAATTGGTTTAAAAATTGTGTAGAGCCAAGCTTGGCCTAGTGATGAGCATACTTCAACTGTTTATCCGAGGGGTCATGCCCTTTGCTGCAAAAAATGTACTACTCCTTAGGGCTGTGAGTACATTGTATGAGTGATTTTTAAATCACAATATTTGGTCAGAAAAGGATATCCAAAGAGTTTATAGTGTGTACTGTTCACTAGGTGCCTTCCCTTTAGTGTATCATTTCAAAATTAGGAATGATTATGTACAGATAACCCTTTATATAGCTCTGTGGACATTTTCTGAAAATAAAAAAACACATTTATCATATATTTTTAATATATCACATACTGTGGTTTTGATGAATTAGTTTTTGACAAAAAATTTTCTGTACTTATAATGTAGTTCATTGTCATGCCACTGATAAACCAGGTGTATTATACTTATCTGTGGACTATTTGTTAATGTGGAAGAATTATTTCTAGCATATATGTAGCATCATGATTCTCTTGTAATCTTGAAATTGTGACAAAGTACATAAGTATGATGTTACATCTGATACACAGCTATTTATTTCTCTCGTATCGTGTTTGAGACCTAATAAATATTACTATAATCCTATTGATTTAAATAAATGAGCTGTAGTAATACCTTATATTGCCCTAAAAAATAATAAATGTTTGTTGTTTTTTCTACTTGAAAGCTCATTCCATTCACTTTGCAGCAGCAGACAAACATTATATATGAGGTACTTTAAATGGAGATATTTAAATATTGGTTATGGTAATCATTAAACTATGTTCTAAAATGTTGAGTACTTTGTAACTAATCTATTTGTAATGAGTGCATTAGTAGTTGCATGCTACAACATAAAGTATTACTTCTTAAATTTAGAAACAAGATTCAAAACTAGTTCTAAAGTATTTTGAACCTTTTACTAATTCTTCTAATTTTAATCATGATGTTTTTACGTATTTCTCTGCAAGTGTTATTATCATTTTTAATTAATAATGCATGTTCAAATAACTGTATGTAGACAACCATTAAGTTACCTAGAAATTATTCTTTAGTTATATTCAGTCAAGCATAAGATCACAGTTTTAAAAGTGTCAGTGCAGTATTCATGAATTAGGTAGTTGAATTTTAATGTATATAAATCTTAAGCTATTAGGGTATTAGATGGATTTCTATATTTATGATATTTACCTAAGTGTAAATTTTAATAGTAAAAAGCTTTATATTGCCCTCAAGACTTCAAAAAGAAAAAGTTTTCAGAATTTATAGTTAGCAATGGTCTCTAAATGTATCTAGTTGTAACTCATTTAGACTGGTTAAATTTACTGTCATTCCAAATGAGAAATTAACGAAAATCTTTCACTCTGATGCATACATAATACTTATCTGTGTATGTGTATATATGCCATAAATATTCAATAGCCCTGTTGAATAATTCATACATTTCATAAGTTATTTACAAAAAATAACAGACAAATAAATTTCTTTAAGTGTAAAAGACCAGAATTCACCTAAAGTTTACTTTGTACCAAAATATAGCTTCTTGTCATTAATTCTAGTCTTTAAACTTATATAAAAGTTCTGAGGAAGAAACCAGCATATTTTCTGCTTTTGAAAATATCTCATTTTAATACTTCTCTTGTAATCTTGAAATTGTGACAAATTACACAAGTATGATGTTACATCTGATACAAAGTTTTCACTCAAAATAATATTCCCATTAACCCTATCATAATGGGCTCGGGTATTTTACACGACCTTGTAACCACCATGTAACTATGGTGGTATATATACTATAACTCTGACAGTACTTAATGTATCTTCATGAACATTTAAAGTCTTTTAATAAAGAAGAGGGAAGAACTAGAAAGCAAATATCACAATTTTCATACTATGAGAAAATGAAGATTTTTTAAATATTTTCTTATAAGATTAAAACTTATATCAAAATTTGATTTATTAGCTACGTTTGATGCAGAGTTTATTTATATACCTTAATAATAAAGTAACATAATTAAATTTTGAATATAACTTTGTAAAAGGTTGTGACACATGCACTTTGGCATACCCGAAGTGAAAAGGTTAAAAAATTCCTACATGAAACTGTACACAACTAATGATGCTCAGAAAAATGTATGTACAGAAGCAGGTTATTAACTGTTTGTTACATAGGTTATTAATCAAATTCTTTATTCAAATGTGAGCCTGATAGTTAGGGTGCTCGAATTGCAATCTGAGGTTTGCGAGTTCGAATCCCCATCACCAAACATGCTTGTCCTATATGATTACCCACTGAACCAGCCACCTGTGTGTAAAAAATCTTGGCTCAGGAAAATACTGGCTCACCTCAGAGTGGTTGGGATGAAGGTAATAAAAAAGTAAAATGCGTATAAGTTTCCATAAGATACAACTTTGTTTCATTTACAGTCAGTTATTTTTTATAATAAAGAATTCAAAAAATAATGTTTTTTTTTGCATCTAAGCATTTTTATGTCTATTAAGAATTCAAAGCGAACATCCTATGAAGATCCCACTCCACATTGGAAAATTCATCAAGCTCGTCATCAAGCTACACTTTATGAAAGTTATGTCAACTTAAATTTGGAAGAACAAGCATGGTATGTAATTTCACCTATTATATTTGGTTAAAACAATTTGATTACAAAGTAAAATCATGTGTGTGTTTTTGTATGTATGTGTGTATATATATATATATATATATATATATAT